CAACATTAACATAAATGATGTAGAGCAGATCTGACATAATGACTGCAGCTCTGTGTAAAATATATAATACCAACAGCAGTGAGCGTACCCTCTGAATGCATCTAGGCTTGACTGCACGCCGCTGTCAGACAGAGTGATTCTCAGTAGGCTGCAGTGTGTCAACAACACTTCTCTCTGGAGACGTCGACACATTTTCTCATTAGCAGAAACGTTGGGTTGAGCCAGATATTCCTGAAATAGAGATCATCAATTCTTCAAGCTTTTCATTTCAAACTAAAAAGGATGTTTAAAAAATGATGAATATAATTGAACCATTCTGAAACGTTTAAATGAAACAAAAAATATTCCAAAAWAATCTAAAGTACTCTCTGACCTGCAGCGTGTGCAACACCACRGTGTACCAGTCCTGACTGTTGCGCAGCAGGCCTCTTTTCTCAGCAGCCAGGCAATGTTTAACAGCCTCATCGAGCCGACCGTCCTGACAGAACAGCTGAACCAACTTCACGTTCACATGCGCATCAGCTGGCCGTGCCGTCAGCTCAGCCTGAAGGAGGTCAAACAACTGGTTCCAGCCCTGCTGGCCCTGACGACTCAAAAGACGCTCCTGAATCAAGACAAGCAGAGTAAGTGCAGTGTCTACTTTTTATTATTAATCACAGCTGGCTGTTAACTAAGCAGCTGCTGGTGAAGTCCACAGCAGAAGCAACAGTTCGACAGCTGACATGGATGGTACAAAGAGGAGTTTTATTTTTTCCTTTACCTTCAGGTTGAAGACTGCTGGATGTCCAGGCATGAGCTTCGAAGCTTTCTCCACCCAAAACTCTGCTCTGCTGTCACATTCTTTCTTATCAACAAGTAACTCGGCTACCTTCAGCACCAGGTCCTTCTGCACCGGGTTCAAGTCCACCGAGCGCTGTGTGAACAAAAAACATTAAAATATAAACAAATTACTTCATTACACCAAGCAGAAAATAGTATTTATGATATACACAAGTGTCAGTGTTTAAATTTACAGCTTCCTCTTCCAGTGACATTTGTAATATGGCTCTGAAAACATTTTTTTATTTTGTTTCAAAACACAAACAACAGAATCCTACAATTTGTTACTCAGAAGACATTGGAGCTTAGTAAAAATGACATTAATTTGCAAAGGAAACTAATAAACATTTGAATCCCTTTTTCTACCTTGTAACATCCAGCAGCTTTGTTGATGTCTCCTTCTCTCTCATAGAGCTGCCCAAGGAATTTGTGTGCTTTGGGATCCCTTTCCTGCACTTTGAGATACTCTGATACATGCCTAGAAAAAGTGTGAAAACGTGCCACCAAAAAGTGAGCAGAATATTGAAGGACGCAAAAGCACAGTTGGTCCAAAAAAAGAGAAACTCACACACGTACCTTTTTGCAAGTTCATATTCTTTTGCTTCGAAGTACAACTTGGCAAATAGAAACCCTTTGACTGGCTTCTGTGAAAAAAAAAAAAAAAAAAGGTAAACACATCATCAGGTGAGATCCCAGAAATAAATTACACGTTTTTTTAATAATTCACTGGGCAGTTCATAATTATTGTAGTAGTTTCAACAACATCTTGAATTATTTTACTTATTAATTATACTAATTATTTTTACTTATGCAAACAAAAAGCTTTTCATCCACAGAAGAGAATATCCTCAGTTAAACATGTTGCTTTCCTAGAAAAATGGCAGCATTTATCTATTTGTATTGTAAGGTAAATCCAATGGTGCTCATTTCAATAATCGTTTACATGACACACCCAAGAGCCATAAGTTTCAATTATTTTATATCTGTTTATTATGGTCTGATAAATTAAACAAATTCTCGCGATATTTGAAAAACTAGTCCAGATGTTTGGTGTGCCGGACCATCAGAACCAAAACTAAACGAAGTTTGGAGTGCAGTTACAAACACGCGTTATATATATAAAAAACAAAGCCTTGTTTTCTGCATATGGAACATTAATAAAAAATAAAGTTGATTATASCCTCCACTGTGGCTAACACAGGCTATAGCGGCTTTACCAAACCGCGCATTTCCMAGCACGACGGGTAAGCTAATGTGCGCGCGACGCTAGCAGCCGGGTACAGCTAACACCACCGAGGTTCAACACAAATCTGCACTCAAGCTAAAGCTAACTATACCCACTTCATTCAAACTTACATCTAGCGTTTAACTAAAGCATGACCAATCCTAGTCTTTACACCGGCTAGTTGTCACATGTTAATCTGGTACAATAGCAGGCTAGCATTAGCCGCCGGAGGAYCCTACCTCTTTGAGTGAAGGAGAAGAATTCTGTACAGATGAAACGTAGCGGTCCACTTCCGCCTTACTCCGCCGCATGACTACAATTRTTAGATACTTCCACAAGAGCTGAATGTACTGCGGAGAACAAAATACTTCACCAAATTTCTCAAACACTGACGTTAAATTTCTGCTTGTCAGTAACTCCCCATGATGRTGATGGGTTGCGCAGTATCGCCGTGAAAAGGCAGCGGGTCACGTGGTGGGTCGTGTTTAACCAATGAGAATTGAGAGCTGAACTGACGCACAGTGTTTTAAATATGAGGGGTGGGACCAGTGAAAAGGCAGCGGGTCACGTGGTGGGTCGTGTTTAACCAATGAGAATTGAGAGCTGAACTGACGCACAGTCTTTTAAATAAGAGGGGTGGGACCAGGAAAGTTTCAGCAAAATGGCTTAAAACATACCACAAACATGTGGAAAAACACCACATTTTACTGCGATTACTACCATTTTYTTTAGGATCTAGTTTACTGTTTAAAGATGGACAATTACAAGCAAGCCACATTTTATGTTTTAATGAGAACTATGAACAAATATGTCAACACATTTAGTTTTTCTGATATGGACTAATGTGTCTAAAGTAAAAACCTCCTTTTCTGAGCATAACAAATAACTTATGCATACAGCGTTTTCAAAACATATTATGGAGTTCACATAATGTAGAACTAGAAATGATCTTGCATAATAATCTAAAATATTTTTAAATATCCTGAATTTGACAAGTACTCCTTTGATGGAGAGAAAAAAAAAAACAGTATGTGCATTCCTAATTTTGAAATACTTTATTCCAATAAGCTTACAGAAAAAAAAAAAGCTTTCAAGTCCTGAACATACGCTTTGGAGTGTTATGTTGGAAAAACAAGCATTTGCAATACAATAACAGAAGAGTATATTTTGTGTAAAGCACTACGATGCTGCTGAAATTCAGTCTAACAAAAGTCATAGTTTGAGCTTCTACAAAAGAAGTGTTGTAGTTTCAGTCAGTGTTGAAATGCAGTATGAAAAAACAAACATTTGCATTCATAAAACTGTGGAATGTGCTTTTCCGCTGAACCCTAATGCATTAAATTAAACTTTACATGATAAAACAGAGCGCACACAAATCACTTTGACGTAAGAACAGTTGGCTTCTTTTCCTAAGCGAGTCTGAGCCTCRAGGAAGTTGGTACACTTCTTTAAGAGGATCACTTTCTTTGGMTTACATACAACTACTGGTAATATTCCAACATCCGGTTTCTGTAACACATGGAGGTACAGTTGCACATGATTTAAACCCGATTTCAGCTTTTTTGTCTCTTTTATGGATTCAATGTGAACAAAAATGTATAAAAATACATAAAACATGGATTTTTTAAAAAAGAAATACCAGTTCTGGCAAATACTGTAACAAGGCACTATTGCTGCCAGAGATGGAGTTCATTACTTTACATACTTTCATTATGTTAATTATACATACAGTGATACATATTAGGAAACAAACAAGTAACATTATTGAGTAATACATACACATTTAATACAACAGCATTGTTTTTATCTTTTTTTACTCAGTTATGAAAAAATAGCAGTAACATCATTCAAACAGGAGACTCGTTTCTTTGGCATCACATAAGCACGTTGGCTAACTTTAACAAGTTATTTTTCAGTCATGCTTCCAAATGTCAACTACAGTTTGTTATTAAATACAGGACCACTGTCACTTGTGCTACACTGTATAGGTTTAGCAGTGAAATAAGCAAGTATATATAAAAATATAAACAGTGCAGCATTTAAGCAAAAACTAGTGAAGCAAAAAAAATAACCAACCAACAATCTGACTGCTGGTTTTAGGAACTAAAGATCCAGGTTCAGTTCCACTAAAATAACCGACCTAAATGTAGAATAAATCACCAATTTCTATCTTCAGTGATTCTCAGAGGTGGAGTGAATCGGGCCGCCTCGCTGTTTCCTCTTCAGCTGCGCGTTCACTTCCTCGCAGCAGCTTCGGACAGCTTCTTCAGCCTCTTCTTCAGCTCCAAGGGGAACTTCTCGTAGCACTTCTTACACACCGGTTTCATGTCGAACTCAACAAACTTGTTCCTGAGGGAGAAAGACAAGGTGAATTTAACACATCTCCTACAGTCCAAAGGAAAAAAAAAACATTTAATCTTATGTCACCATTAGATGTTCCATCTTTGGTTTTGATTTAGTTCTTTTAGCCAAGTTATGTTAAAAGCTTTGAGGGTGGACATTTTTCTGCATATCTGACTTTTATTTTGAAATTGATAATAATGCTTAATATGTTAAGGAATTTACTACATTTTAACAAATGAAACTAATTGAAAAACGATTTCCTTCACATGATCAGTCTAGTATCTATCTACCTATGACAGCAGTATGCAACTTTTACAATCTAAACAGCCTAATTTACAGTGTTGTATAAAGTACCGTATTTATTCATGTATAATACAATCATCATTTTTTGAACATTAAAAATCGAATTATCAATAACCCGTGTATAATACAACCC